CAGGGCCCCGAGAGCCCGGCGCCCAGCCCGCGGCCGCCGCTGCCCGCGCCGGGACCGAGGCAAGTTTACAAACACCAGCCCGGGGCCCGTTTCCCCGGAAGCACTTCTCCCTCCCCCTCCGCCTCTCCGCCGGGCGGCCACATCCACTTCCGGGCTCGGGAGCCCGGGCAGGAGGGGCCCTCGAGCCGGGGTGAGGCTGGGGACGCGCCGAGCGCTGCGGCTGGCGAGCGGGAGGGGCGGCGGCCCGGAGGCCCGGAGGGGGCTGGCGCGAAGGGCCGCGCGTGCGCACGGGCGCGCGGGCGCCCTGGCCGCCATCTTGGCTGAGGGCAGCCGCCGGGCTCTCCCTGGGCTCTGTCCGTAGGGGCTGCGTGCGGTCCCTGCGGAGGTTCGCTGGGTGGGCTGGTGGGCTCCTGCAGAGGCTCCGCTTCCCTTTCCTGTCGCTCCTAAGGCCGGAGCGCCGAGTGGGAGCCGGGACAGTTCGTGCCCCTGGTTTCTTCTTGGGGCTCGCTGCCGTCGCGCGCACACTGCGAGGTCAGCCGTGCGGCACACACTAAACCACAGGCTGGATAGGAGTGTCAGAGATGTTACCTGGTACCCTTGTGCGCCGAGCCACACTCGTTGCCTTTACTCCTCTCCTGTTCTAGGTGGTCTAACCTAGGCTTCCTTGCAGGAAAGGGCCTCCTTTTTCTCTTCAGTGGACTGGACTCTTGTTAGAGACGTGGGCAGCCGCCGGGCCAGGCTGCATTTGGGGAGGGGGAAGTTGAGCCCATCCTGGAATGCTCCACCCGTGTCTTCCCCGACTTAGCATTAGAGAGGAGTCCAGCTAAAAGGTTGACGTCTGGAACTGTACACTGGCAGAAGGAAAGTGAACACTCAGGTCCCGGTTTCTATTCTAGCTACTGTCAGGTGAGTGTAGGAGACGGCAAGGCACTATCCACCAAAAACGTCTTTATAATGAAAAAACACAAGGATTCCTAACCACAGACCCGCACATTTTAGACCCTTAAAGTAAGTTATGTTTCTCTTAGGATCATCCTAAAATTGACATAAAAATGGACAGAAATGTCACCACGAATGTTTGTTGTGTAAAACAAGTTAGGACCCTGGAGAGATGACCCAGCTGTTAAAGTGCTTGCTGGGAAGTCTTGATGGCCAGCGTTTGGATTCTGTTATCTAGGTAGCAAACCTGTTAATGGGAATATGCCTATAAACCCAGCTCTGAGGAAGGAGGAGACTGGAGGATGCCCAGGACTTGCTGGTCTCCATCCCTGACTGAGAAATTGGATTCCCACACTGGCGGAGAGACCCCACTTCTAAAGGAATAGACAGAGTAATGTAGGTAGAGCAGTGATAGGGCGTACAACACTCTCTTCTGACCTTCAAGTGTGCACAGACTCATTCACAAACACATAATAAACAAAACCCTCTAACCCAGCACCCGGAAGGCAGAGCAGGCAGACCTGGTATTCATAGCAGGCTCTACCAGCCCGGGGTGCACAGGGTCTTTAAAAACAAGACGGAGAGGAGAGATGCCTGCTCTTCCAGAGGTGCTGAGTTCACTTCCCAGCACCCACATGGCAGCTCACACTTTTCTGTGAGCTGTGGTTCCAGAGGATCTGACACCCTCTCACAGACATGCAGGCAAAACACCAATGCAAATAAAGTAAATACAAAAGACAACAAAAACTTACCTGTTTCCAGTCTACAGAATACAAAAATCCAAAAGGACAAATGGTTAATTTTTTTCCTGTGTCATACTCTTGAAGTTAATCATTCTTATTACTGCTTTTTTTTTTTTATATATTACAGTTTTTATTTTTATGTGTGTATGGTTGTTCTGCCTGCATGTATGTCTGTGTACCACTTGAGTGTATGGTCCTGTTAGAGGCCAGAAGAGGGCATAGAATACCTAGAAACTTGGAGTTACAGACATTTAGGAGCCACCGTGTAGATGCTGGGAATTGAGCCTGGGTTCTCTGCAGGGGCAGCCAGTGCTCCTAACTGCTGAGCCCTCTCCACAGCCCCGGGTATATTTCTGGTGCTGGGGGGGGGGGGGGAATCCATGGTCCTGCACATGGCAGACAAGCTGTCAGCCACTGCCTTTTCCACTGTTCTCCAGGTCTTACCAGTTTGGTGAACTCTGTACCATGAGACACTTTCTCTGCATTCATTACATAGATATTTTTTACCCAGTGCTATATTTTACTTTGTGGTTTTTTTTTTTTTTTTTTTTTTTTTTTGACACAGTTTCTCTGTGTAGTCCTTCTGTCCTGGAACTATATGCCAGGTTTTAAACTTTTTTCCTTTAAGACATGTATATTTGTTTATTTTGTGAGTACCTCGGTGTATGGTACGTATTTGTGCATGTGAAGGTCAAAGCATAACTTTTTTTGTAACAGTCCTGGCTGTCCTGGACTTGCTTTGTGGATCAGGCTGGCCTTTGGAGACATGATGTATCTGTGTAGCCCTGGCTGTCCAGGAACTTACTATGTAGCCTCGGCTGGCCTTGAACCTGCAGAGTTCTGCCTGCCTCTGCCTTCCAAGTGCTGGGATTAAAGACACGTGCCATGATGCCCTGCCAGAGGACAACTTTTCAGAGTTAGTTTTCCCCCTGAATCATGCGGGTCCAGGATGGAAGAACTCAGGTCACCAGGCTGGAGAGCATGCGCCTTCACCTGCTGGGCCATCTTGAATGACACAGTTTGTTAAGTCTCTAACAGTAAGCCTGGTTGAAAGAACTTGTGGAGGAGGCTAACTATCCAGATCTCTTTGCCCTCAGGCGGGGTCCCCGATTCAGCCTCTCTCAGGCTCACTCCATCACTTAAGCAAACAGTGCTGTGATGGCTCCTGACCACCCCCACACTACAGCAGGCCAGGCGAGCTTTTGCCTCCAAGTCAGGACAGGCTAGTCGGTCAGTTCTGCCTTTCTGGAATGAGTGCCCGCTCTGCTACATGCTGGGTTCCTGTGCTGGCTGCTAGCTGGAACCCACAGGGTAAACATAGTCCCTGGGGCAGTGCCAGGCAAGCGGCAGTAGACAGTCGGTCAGTGTTTGCTGAACAAGCTGAACTCATGCTCCTCAGAGCCAGCCTGGGTTTCATCATAGAAACAAGCTGGCTAACTCCCTTTGCCGTCCGTAGGCCTTTGATGACACGAATAAATAAGCTGGGAAATAGAACAGGGGACAGTCCCTGGGCCTGGTAGTATATATGCTACGGAGCTTCTGCTTTTGTTTTGTGGTGCTGGGGATTGAACCCAGGGCCGTGCCAGACCGCCACTACTCATATCCCCAGCTCTTCCTAACCTTTTTTATTTTATCATTATCATTATTATTATTATTATTATTTTGGGAGAGTCTCACTCTGCAGCCCTGGCTGGCCTGGAACTTGCATAGAGACCATGTTGTCCTTGAACTCACAGAGATCTGTAAAGGTGTACACACTCGGCCCCTTCTCAGTCTTTTCTTGTTTTAAAGTAAATTTCATTTTAGCAGCATGCATGATGTGACATATATACATATATGTGTGTGTGCGCGTGCATATGTGTGTGTTAATACAGAGGGGGGCGCTATTGTGGCAATTGTCTTGGTCAACCTGCCATTACCTGGAACCACCTGAGTCTCCTCTGAGGATGTGGGCACATGTGTGAGGTAGTTCCTGCCCAGTGAGCTTTGGGTGGTGACCCTGGACTCTGTAAGAGAGAGGTAGAGGCCAGCTGAGTACTGAGCGCGCAGGTGACGGGGAGCACTCGTTTCTGTCTGCGGTTTTGCTTTAACTTAATTTTACATGTTGCCTGCATGTATGTCTGTGCAGCACATGTGTTCAGTGTCTGAGGAGGCCAGAGAGGGTACTGGACCCCTGGGACTGTAATTACAGGCAGCCTGGGTCCCCTGGAAGGTCAGCCAGTGTTCTTAACAATTAAGCCAAGTCTCCAGGGATCTGGACATGTCGGCTCTTGAATGTGACGTGGCTAGACTAATCGGCTCTTGTTTCTTCCCCCAAGTGACGGACTGCAAACGGAAGTTGTCAGACAAATAATCCCGTTCTTTTTGTCAGATTATTTGTCACAACAACAAAGGTGAACTAGAACTGCTGGGGCCATGACCTGCTGTCCAGGCATGAGGAAGCGAGGCGCAGTGGCAGACAGCTGGAGGCTCTGTTCACGCAGGGTAGCTGAGACACGGGGCTCCAGGCTCCGTGAGAGACTCAAGGTGGGCGTGATAGAGGAGGACACTTGACACTGGCCGCTATGTGAGCACTTAGCACGGATCGTACCCTCAAAAATTATCAGAGATTAGAGGTGTGCAAATATGAAATCCAAATAACCTACAGTCTGAGCACCATAGGAATAGCTTGGCATCTCTGCCAGTCTTGTAAGAAGTCAGAGGGATCTCAAGAGATGCTGAGAACCACCCCAGTCCAGCGCCCATCATGCAGACCCCTGTGAGTCAGGGATTCAGCCCTTTCTGGGTTCCTTGGGCACTTA